ATCAGTAACATTCACACGAAACATTGTAAACAAAGTTATAAACCTATTGTAGTAAGGCACTGTTGTTAGTAAATATATAAATGCTAGAATGGTAGAAGTGTATTCTATTACTTATTGACTATGCCATAAAGTTGATAACCAAATCTTATATTTAGATTTAGTACTTTTTGTTGTTGTTTTTGTTATTGTCGTTGTTGTCTGTTGTTTTATTTTATTTCATTTTGGAGAAATGGAGAGATCATTTGGCGAATATGTTGGTCAGACCCATGTTAGCGAACAAGTATTTCAAATATGAATTGGCAAAGAAAAATACATCTACAGAAGATTTTAAATGAATAATTTTACCATTTCATGTAAAATGTTGAATTCTGTTTTAGCTGGTGCTAGGGGCATGGATGGTAGCTTGCATTATCATTAACTCCATAAACAGACTCAATAAAACCAAGCCTGTAACATTTTTAATTTTGCCGTTTTTGACGTTCTTTACGAGTGATTCTTTTTTCCCCTGTTTTTCTTTTGTGAATAAAATTTAAGATAATTGTACAAAATGTGATAGGTGAGTTGAAATCTGCAACCGCAACCTGTCATTAATTTAATGTTTCATCGCTCGCCTAGAAAAGTCATTTTAACAAGTGCTGAATCGATTCTTCCCATTAAAGGGATATTGTTTTTAGTGTAAATTAAACAAACAACGGTCATTACTTAAACAAGTGACACATTTGAATTTGTGCGGCCAAAATCAGGAACGCCAAAATAAGGAACATTATATAAGTAGAATTATTTCGTATCGGCAACATATTTCCGTCACGTTTAAAGTGAGTACATTCATTAAATTGAACCTTAACACATTAAACAATAAACGATTAATCAACGTTAATATCCCTAGATATATTTTTATTAATATCAGGCACTCCTGAAAAAACAAATGAATTGGCCCTTAAGCTTTGATCATGTCCTAGCATTTTTTCTGAGTCTAGACTTATATGTCCATGCTTGAATTTGTACACATTTATTGCTTTGTTTTATTTTAAGTCAGATGTAATAGCTGTTATTCTGTACCTGTGATCATTTCGCTCTGTCTAGATATTCATTTTCATATATTACGGTAACAATATACTCGGAATTGTGCAGTTAACGTCATATTTTGAATAACGCTGATTAATTACTAGACTTCAAGAATATTTCTCCTCTAAGACCCAAGTGTTTATTTGACAGTTTTACATATAAGAATTTGATAACTATCGTTTCATGAGATAAATATAATAAATTCAAATTATTATTTGTTTTAACATTCTTTTGACAGAAAGCGATAGTAAAGAGACTTAAAAGTGAATTTTAAATGCATATATGCATAGGGTGACATATACATGTAGTAATGATAGAATTTATTTCAACTTTGCATGATCTTAGATGAAAACAGAAACAGTTTATTAAATTAAATAAGCAAACATAATATCTTTAAGTAAACAAGAATTTGTAACAGAGTTACCAACGTCACCCGCCTCAGGTAAGTTTTATATAAAGCATAAAATTGTGCTGTTTCAAAAGATTGAGGTATGGATCTCGGGACTTTCAGTCCAAAATTATGATCAATGCTAGATCTGCAAATGCAACAGTCAATTTATTAAAGAAATAAAATGAAACACGGAATTTGAAAATCTATCATGTTAAGCTTTGACCTCTTAGTGTGACCTTAACCTTGGAGGTAGGGGTGCAGGTGATGTGCATGACATATCGTCTTATCATTGTAACTATTTGTGCCAAGTATTTTCAAAATCCCTTGAACTATGAAGACGTTATAGATCGGACACAAAATATACCCTATAACAGACTATGTTAATCTTTGATCTCTAAGTGTGACGTTGGAAGTAGGGACCCATGTTTTGCGCGTGACATATCGTCTTATAATTGTGATTATTTGTGCCAAGTATTTTTAAAATCCTTTGATCAATGAAAATTATGGACGGGACACAAAATATACGATATAACAGACTATGTTAATCTTTGACCTCTAAGTGTGACATTGACCTTGGAGGTAGGGGTACAGGTGTTGTATTTGACATATTGTCTTTAAATTGTGACTAGTTGTGCCAAGTTGTTTCAAAATCCCTTGAACTATGAAGAAATTATAGATCGGACACAAAATATACCCTATAACAGACTATGTTAATTTTTTGACCTCTTAGTGTGACCTTGAACTTGGAAGTAGGGATGCAGGTGTTGCGCATGACACATCGTCTTATTATAGTGATTATTTGTGCCAAGTATTTTCAAAATCCTTTGATATATGAAAAAGTTATGAACCGGACACAGAATATACCCTATAACAGACTCTGTTATTCTTTGACCTCCAAGTGTGACCTTGACCTTAGAGGTTCGTGACCGGTTTTGTACATGACATATCGTCTTATTATTGTGAACAAATATGGCAAGTATTAACAAAATCCCTTGAAAATTAACAAAGTTATGGACCGGACTCGACATATACCCTCAAATAGACAATGTTGACCTTGAATGAGCAAGTGCGACCTTGCCCCTGGAGGTAGGGGTCTGGTTGTTGCGCATGACACATCGTCTTATTATAACAAACATTTGTGCCAAGTTATTTCAAATTGCTTTGATAAATGACAAAGATATGGCCGGACACGGAAGTGTGACAGACGAACGGACAGACGGACGGAGCCTATTTCTTTATAAGGCGGGGACAACAAGAAAAAACATTCTAACCAGTTGTTTCAATTTTAATGACTTTAATTAACTGCGTGAGATGCAGAAAAAAAAAGACATAGCTAACATTGGTTGTGAATTTTTTGACACTTAAATATGCAAAATTTTCTTATTCAAGGACAGATGATGGTGACCCTCAATTTCTTGTCTGTTGTCATATTCTTTGAGCATGCACAGTTTAAACAAAGATTAGTAGGTAGATTTCAATCTGCTATTTTGTCTGTATGTAACCCTAGCATAACCTTTAAGTTATTTTGTCAAGTATTAGAATTGTTTGTGCTTAAACGAAACACGCATGTATTAATCTCATATAAGCATTGATAAAATGCATTACGTGGCAATTGCTCTAAGTCATGCATAAGGAACGTTAGCCCTAAGTCAGCGGGATGTTTTTCCTCGTCTCAAGTTTCTCACAAAAAGCCGTGGGTAATCATGTTTGTGTGATTACTATGAAGCTCTCACTATTATAACAACAATTGATCACACTATAAATGGAGCGAAAATACTTGTGATGTTGCTAGTTAGAAGATATGATATTTCCTCCGGACATGATCGGAAATCACGCCTAAGACTCTGCAATAAATCGACAAAGCAGAGAAGAAATTTTGACATTATTGTCAAAATATAGCGCTGTTCATTAGTCAGGCATGTCAAACGAAAATAAATCTGGAAAAAAAATTTTTCGAGTTCACAAACGATTTCTAACGCTCACACAGTTTGGTCATATTCTGTCTAGTAATAAAACCATTCATCTTATCCTAATTAGTGAAATACGTATGAGGTTTTAGGTATTAAATAAAAAGAAAATGTGTATTTTTTGCGCGAAATTAGCTATATATCTCATATCGAAAAGAATAACTATATTTTCGACTTTTCACTGCTCAGTCTCATATCTTTCGAGTGGTCTACAATTATTCAAGCATGTCACTTGAGACCCCTCACTTCCAAGTATAATCTCTCAGTCCGGATGTATACTAACTGGGGAGAAAATATTATTAAGAGATATGAAACATTTACGCTTGTGTCAGAAAACGTTATTTAAGGAAAGTTACGTCATGCGCAGGATACCGTGGTCATGTATGCCTGCGGAACCGACTTAAAAGAAACATGAAAATAAAAAGCAAGTTGTGACAATGTTAGATGTTTTGTGCATGCATAATTTGGTCTCTTACCCACACTCACCCACCCCATTATGCTATTGTTCATTAATGTAACATTCACATGGGAATACGTTTTAAACTGGACAGAGCTTAGTCTAAAAGTCACCCTTAAGCATAATCATCCTTTCACAACAAGTGTCATGTTTATATAGAACTACGGAAGCTAAAATCTGCCATCTTTGCGATTACGTTTTAGTGCACTATGACTGTTGAAAGGATATACAGCATATTCATTCAAGACAGACGAATATCCTCTATGTACGTGTCAATATATAACTACATAAAATTACTCATTGTTTACAAATGAAACAATTTTTTATGTAAACATTAAATCATAAAAATTAAAAAATTATGCTGTTTAAAGCAAAACTTAAATTCTGTCAATAATTGCTTTTTAGAATATTCAAAGTTATTCCCTATTTGAGTAAATGCGTTAGAAAATGCGCCTATTACAAAACCTTTACAATTATTATAATTACTTTTGTTATACTTTAGGTTCATTTATTTATAATGTCTTAACTTTTATCACGCTAAATGTGTCGCGTATCTGAAAAAAACGTACATCATTTTAAAGAAAACTTTCAAAATATGTACTCTTTGAATAGCGGTGGGTTTCTTGGATAAAATCAGTTGATGCAACCAAATATTATGTTTTCTCTACTGACTTCTACAAAGGAATGTCATCATTTGCTATAATTAGGCTAATCGCTCAATGTCATATATTTCGGATATAAACCACTGACCGACCATTACATTGTCAATGTTCCTGATTGTCTTTGACATTGTATCAATCATTTAATATCGATAAGAATACCGTACTCTAGCTATTAACACGATATTCTCCAATCACAAAACGATAAACGAAAAAATCCTTATTGTTGCATTTGGTATGTGCGTACATGCATATTGTATACATAATTGGATGGTACATTGTATTCTAGTGTGCAATATTCATTTTCTCATAAATTTGACAAAAAAAATATTTTGTATACAAATTGTCTTTTGGGATAAATAATATGAGCACAAACATTCCTTGGAAGAAACTATGAATAATTATATATATTCTAGCAATGAAGAAATAACTTCACACACTTCAAACAAGACAGACAAGTAAAGGATCTGCAGTTTTATTAACTCTTTCCTCAAACACTCACTAATTTGATAATGTAAAAACAAACATGTTAAATTGTATCATAAAATGACCATAACAACTACTAAAAGATTTTAACAAATAATTAACAACATGAAACATTTATACATCATTGTGTTATAAAGCAGAACAAAACAGTGCTTAAATAAACTTTTTGAATGAGTTATTTGCTTATATTATCTAAAAAATCACAGACAGTTTGTACAAAATATGTGTTTAACAGCTAGATAATTGAACATAAGCGTTTAACAATAACAAACGATTCTAAGATAATTAATGCAACTTTTATGTTTATCAATTTTTGCAGAAGCACGAGCACGCTCTTAAAAACTGAGCCTTTTTAAGCGAGAGATTTAATAAATTCCTATGCCTTCTGCAGATGTAAGTGGTCAAAAAAGTACATTTACGCTATTCCTGCATAAAAGAATACGATCCGTATTTTGTTATTTGTTTTTCGTGTAAAGAAACCGATTCAGTCATGCTCTAAGCGTGCGAATATGAATATGCGAATGTGAATCTTTTGATTTTGAAATTTCCCGGGCCGCCATTGCAAGCAGCTAATTTTACATTGCGACTTGTGTCACGCTTAAAGGCCATTTGTTTCAAACTTAAACTAGAATCAGGATGGTCATAATTCAGTCATTAAATGTTAGGATTGCCAAAATGTTAGAATGACTAAAACATATGTGTTCATTGATACATAAGTAGAGCTGAAGTTAACATTTATACAGTCCGATAAGAAAACAAAAATCAATTTAACCTTCATTGAATCTAAAATTAAATCAATTTGTTTTATATTATCAATATATTTCTATATAGCATTACTTAAACTAGCTAGCTTGAAAGGCATTTTTGAAATCAATAGCGTTTAATAAAACAATGTACAATGGCAATTATAACAAAAAATGTTATCTAACTTGACTGGTAGACATACCGGTATATTGCACTCAATAAGTAATTGAAAAGAAATAAAAACAATATTGTATTTTACCTATCATACGATAATCAAATATATATGTATATTATATTACACATGTAATTAAATAATTAAAATGTTTTTATGACACATACTTATATCTTCATTTGCTTAACTTGTCTATCACTCATTTCTCTTGCGCTTTCAATCTCTATATACCTCTATCTCTCTATCTCTTTATTTCTACCTCTCACTTTCTATCCCTCAATTAAAATATCTTACTCTCTATCTCTCTTCGTCTATTTATATCTCTTTCTTAAAAAGAAATTATATTTTCATCATATTAAATTTGATATCTTCTACATCGAGAAGCATAAAATGGAATGTTAAACACATAGCATAAGATGATAATAAAATAATAATCCTTAATCATTAAAAATAAGTTTAAAAATGTAACCCACGTAACGGAATCACAAACAATTGCTTGTCTATTCTACATTCAACTGTTCTCTAAATTGCAAAAGTTGGACTTCTCTATTCTACATGCATATGTTCAAAGATTGTTTAAAATTCTAATACATGTACACAATCTGGGAATTTTAAGTTTAATGTTTGGTCAATACCCATATCCGTCAATTTTAGTATAATCAGTATCAGAATCGTAAAAGTTATTTTCTGGTGGATAGCTATCTATTTCATAATTCTTTTTGTTACGAGGCGACAGCTCTAGGTGGTTTTTGCCAATGACGTCGATCGATTTTGTTCCGTCACCAAAGGGTCCGCCATTTTGAACAATAGTCATGTATTGTTTAGTCGGTGGATCTGATACTAAGACATCACATTCGTTCTCGTCTTCGAAGGGTTTATATTTATAAATTGTTTTCATGCAGATGAGTAAAGGAGCATACCCTACATTCGTTATAAAAATTAGAACATTCAGCCAGGTAAATCCTATACTGTCTACAAGTTGACCAGCAACGATTGGGCCAAAAGCATACGCGAAGGAATAGGATATATCTGCAATTGCATAAACACTCCCGTAAACAGACACATAGCGCACATCTACAAGATATCCAAGGATCGGTAGGAGAGCTGTATCAACACAAGCTATTCCAAAGCATAATGTAGCTAATGGAAACAAAACTACGAAATATGCCTTAGCGCAAGGGATGATCAAACAGGAGGTTCCCTCTAAAGCCAATCCTAACGCTGCAACAAGCCATTGATGTTTTGGAAATAGCTTTGCCCATTTAACAGTAAGATAAACGCCAAGTATATGCGGGATGAAAGCAGGAAGCCAAACAAATCCAACTTCCCATTCATCAGCACCCATGGTGTGATTCATCCACATTGCAATGGTTGGTTCAAGAAATGCCAGTGAGACATTTGACATTGCAAGCGCTCCGGCAGCAACCAATATGTAAGGGTCCATTAAGAGACGCCATATAGGAGTGCCTTTTGGTCGATCCTCGGGCGGAATCAAAGATCTTTGTTTTCGAACAGGTTTCATTACGAATAGCACCAATAAACCATCGACAACACAAAGGAAAGCTAGTAATAAAAATGGTACAACTTTACCGCAGAATTCATATAGAATACCCCCAAATGGCGGAGCAAATAAACATCCAAATGATATAAAAGCTAATGCAATACCAAGAGCTTTATTTCGTTCTCCCTCTTCATGAAATCTATCGGCAATCATTGCAAGTCCTGATGTATCTGCAAATGCTGATCCAATTCCTTGTAAACTTCTTGCGAAAAAGAGAACCCCATAACTCTTACCAAAAGCAAACACTGTTGTTGACATGAACATGATTGACAAGCCAATCATCATGGGTAGGTCATATCCTACTCTATCTATAAACGCGCCAGTAAATGGATTTACGAGTAACTGAAGTATCGCTTTTGAAGCAAACAAAACACCAATAGATAATTGACCTTCGTTTCCGTAATTAACTGGGGGAGCCGGTACATCTATTAGGAAAATCTTTTTCCATGTCTTATTCCAATGGCGATGTTGCGGTGGTGCTGGAGTAGATCCAGTATAGTTGAGCGGATACATTGTTGAATTGAAATAGGTTAAGTTATATGCCGTCCAATTTATTTGTTGCTGGTTACTTACTGTATCTTGATCTTGTTGTCTTAGATTCGTTAGATATTCTGGAATGATCGGGACTATCACCATATACAACATATTGTCAAGTAGCAAAGCTATGCAGACGATGACCAAAACAAGCCGCCTCTGATGAATTGGATCATTTACCTTATTTGCGAACCATTCGGCGACTTTGTCGCGAATTTCCACTAACTTGTAGTTCATCTTTGATTTTAATGTATGAAGTCGCTTAAACAATCAGTATGTTATGAATTGAAACCAGTATGGTTTTAAAAATGAATTACTAAATTTTTGTAATGTAGTTCATATATCAGTTCATTTGTCAATAACATCAAGGAATGCGTCAAAAGCATTGTTGTGTTGCAAAGGGTAGCACATAAATAAGATGGTTTCCTCCCTGAGTGTTAAATGCACCATTTTTATCAAGTACTTCCGGTATCATTTCCACATGATCGTCTGCACATAAACCATCTCTCAACCTTAAACAACGAAGAAAGTTCTCATTAGCAAAATTAGATTACGTCATAACCAAGAAAGTTCAATACTATAAATATTTAATTGAAATTTGAGCTTTTATTTACCCTTTCAAAACCAAAAGTTTCTAATTGATCACGGTAAATAAAAACTAAGTAAATAATTGTCAATATAATACGATATTTTAATTTCTAATTATTTTGTTGAACTTTCTTCGTTGTTAATATCAATTAACATGATTATATTTAGTAATGAAACTATCAATGTAAATATTGACACAGTTCTCATGAAAGAGGAAACGGGTTATTCGAATGTTCTTAAAATGTTTGTTTTGTGGCAATGTTCAATGGCTCTTCTACCAGAAGGAATTACATCAATAAATGTCCCACCGTTTTATATTCAGAATATTCCTTGTTTAAAGCAATAACTAGAATATTATTTTCATGGGAAAACAGTAGGCTTTGATATAACAGCGTTAATGAACAGAAATCAATTTAGCGTGGTAACACGAGAAAAACACTCCGGGACAACACCGACGCTATTAAGGTCTCGGCCAGGAATGCTGAATTTCGTCTTGTATATGCTTACGATGGTATTGGTCGGTATTGTTGGTTTGTGAAACAATAATATATGGCACACTGAGAAGAACAACAAGATGTGTTATCAGTGAATAGACAATCATTCAAGCAATACATTCATAAGAATGGCTTACGAAACAACAATAAGGGGCACACAGAGCTTAACGGCTCGATATGCATTTTGTCTACTATATTACATTCATTGTAATGTATTATATTTAAGTCAGTGTCATGGAATGTACCTGTCTCCAAATGTATGCAAAACTTGAGAATATTATATGATTATAAAACTTTAGTTGTTTAGTATCATATAAACATTTGATTTTATTATGATTAAACATTATATATTAAAAACACACTAGCACTAAATAAATAAACCTTTTTAAAATGAAGTATACTAATATACTACACATTTTAGTATATTTATACGCCAGTCAGTGCACTTGCATGCAAATTCAATATTTTTTTTTTCGTGCAAAATTTAAATGAATTTACTTTTGTATGACTTTCATTTTTTATAGAACTGAAATTTGAGACAAGTAACGTTGAGATGATTTATCCTTTGTTTATTCAGCATAATACGCCAATGTTCGTGTATTGTAAAAATATGTCCGTATGGCTGAACTTTTCACCTACAATTTGCCACAAATATACGACCAAAGTCGTGCATTCAGACTAGGGTTTAAACTTTTTGATATTTTACTTTTTTTGTATTTTCATATTGAAATTCGTCAAACTTTTATTTGACTGTTTCAAATTAAAAATACACAGATACAATAAATAATGGGTTAATATTCACATACCAAAATAAGGATATTGACCAATTTAACCGAATGTACATGTATGTAAGTTGTTAAGCTAGTGCTTATCATGATAGTATAAATTAATAACATTTTTTCGAAATTCTCTCGAATTTTGGTATTAATATTACAAATTTAGAGATTGTTTACGATGCGTTAAAACATTTATTAGTCTTTTAAAATGCTTGCAATTATTTTTTAGAATAAAAATACAATTCCTGGTAACTAAGTAGATTGGATTTTTTTTCTATGCACCCTATATTGTACACTACCTAAATTATTGCTTTTAAAATATATAAATCTTGTCACTAATCTTTATTTTAATTACTGTAAGAAATTTAGGATCTGCAATATGTTACATATTTTCACAGAGATTAAGTTGTGCTGACTCATATGTGATATGAAAATTCGTTTCTTTGAGGACATAAGTTTACGTCATGATAATACCTTAAGCAAATACAATGTTTAATTTCTTCTTCAGTTTGACAGATATTTATAGCTTATTTCAATACCTGACAAATTAGAACATTTATCGTGTTTTGATCACCTTAATATTGGAGGTATGTAAATATAATTATTTGTTAATCTTTGTAATTTCCTGGGAACAAAGCAGGTGTTTAATCATAAACACTCTAAGGTTGTGCAAATAATTGCTAAGCCAATTACACCAATATATCACATGATCAATACATCACGTGATTATAACCAATATAACACCAGTTCGTATTTTATTAAAAAGTGAACTATTCAGATTCCTATTCAAGTGGTTGGCTGAGATTAATATTTGAGCCGCGTCACGACAAAACCAACATAATGGGTTTGCGACCAGCATGGATCCAGACCAGCCTGCGCATCCGCGCAGTCTGATCAGGATCCATGCTGTTCGCTTACCAACTCTATTACAAGTAGAGAAACTGATAGCGAACAGCATGGATCCTGATCAGACTGCGCGGATGCGCAGGCTGGTCTGGATCCATGCTGGTCGCAAACGCACTATGTTGGTTTTGTCGTGACGCTGCTCATTTAATCTTTTATCAGTAACTGCTACTTGTCACCCACCAAATTGCTATTGCGGGAAATAGACCAGACAGTTTCAAACAAGTACAAACCTAAAAATTTTGAATGGTGTAACAATGTAAAAAATCTAATATAAGATATATATTAAAAGGAACATTTTCATATCCATTTTAATGTGACATTGAATTCAATACAGTATAAATTAAACATATGATATTACTTAAAATGACTTATGCAACATTTCGTTAATTACTCGGTGAACGCAAGTATCTTTGCCCAACGTCTTTAAGAAGTTTTGAAGCATTAAATTAACGAGTAAAAAAAGGGATAATAAAGGATTGCAAAAGAGTCTATGTAATTATGTTAAAATTTTCTTATAATTTGCTTTGATTTCATGGCAAGGCATGTGGCTATCTAATGAAGCGTCCTGTAACCATATTTGTAATTGACACAAACTGTCACATACGGCTCTTTCTGCAAAACTAAGTTATATAATATTTCACCTCACACATCGTTAATCACCCAGCTAAACTGCATGCTGTCTTCAAATGATTTATTCTAATGCCAGAATTCTAGAATTAATTCCTTGATTGCACCAAACACCGCTGATAAATATCAGGCGGTTGAGACTAAAGTATAGGCTTTATCGTCGTTGTCGTCTCACTTTAATTGGCGGTTTCGAGATAATTCTTGGGAAAAGAACATCAGAGATTGGATAAATACCTTCACTATTTGAAGATTTATAATTTTGCGAACAAAATCAATACCAGCGCTCCTAAATTACGCATTTATTCTTACAGTATTGCAAACAAGATGGGATAATCGAATTTAGGGGAAAATGTCGTTTTCATGCAGAGCGATTTATATCAGATTTAGGTTTGTAATTCAAGCATATAAATGTTTCATCTTAAATACATTTACTTAACAAGCACTGTTTTATTCTTGAATAATAGACATTAATTTAATACGGAGACTGAGCTCGTTCACTTATATCAAACATGATTTGATTTTAGAGTAGTTTGATCATTTCCGACTTTTCCCGTGCATCGCGTGCAGGAGCTCCTATTTTATCGTGAAAATGGGAAAACATTGGCAAAAACCTGCGAGTAATAAAAGCATACGCAATAATTGGTTATTTCGGATTTCATGAAGAAAGGTCCTAAAACATCTTGAAGAAATGGTATGTCTATTATTCACCGCGAGAATCCTAGTGATATTAAATTGCGATACGAGAGCGAGATGAGATTGACTAAAATGACATTTTTCTAAGCTTGTTCAGTTGTGTCTCCTTTTAATTGTTTATTTATTCACTTTCCACACTGTATTATATAATTTACTCCAGAGTTATCATTGACTTCACAATCCTTCGATTAACATTAACTTTGATCTTTAAAGCTGCTAACGCACAGTTTGACATTTGAATTTTTAGATATTAAGGAATTCACTTTGCACTTTATTCTTTTACCGCTTTTGGAGAAATGCAATATTTAAAGACATTGTCAAATATGTTTTCAGAAAATATCAAATATAAGCTAAGAAAAAGCAAATGCAGAGATAAGAAAAAGTCAAGGAATCCAGCCATCAATCTTAAAAATGCAAATAATATACATGTATATGTAGCAGCACATGATTATTTCAAGTCACATGATGAAAACTATTGTAAGAAATAATCCTAAACTAAAACTTTTACATACAAAATACTTATGATAACTGTAACAAAGCGATAACGTATTAATAATTTCTCCCATGCCAGGTACAGTTTAAAAGGGAATAAAAAAAAAACTTGGTGTTTAGAATACCATCATTTCAGGATTATCACACAAAGAAAGCCTCTTAGCGAGTAAATTTTTAACAATCAAAACAATTCAGCAAAACATTTTACTTACTGTTGCATTACTTATATGTTTAAACTAACTCATTTCAACTGTAGGTATCTATATCATTATAGGTTTATTATAAACGTTAACAATGAAGTAGATGTAAATGATATTCATTCGCAATAACAAGGGTGTAGCATTAAGGACCTATTTATAAGCAGTGAATAGAATTGTATTAATGCTATAATCCTTGGAGATTCAGGGATGCAAGCAAACTAGAGATAATACGTGAACTAATTGGAAGATGGATTGATCATGTCGTCCAGTTATAAAGTATTTACATGATAATACATGTAATATATCACTTATATGACATTAAAGGTTAATCGACAACTTTATTTATGGTCTGTATTGGGGCATATAACAATTTCGATACTGTAAATGATCATTTTATTTACGTTTAGTGCTCTACACTTCTAGAACGATAAAATTATTCATTAAATATCTAAATATACTCATGCGTCGGGAGTGGACCAAGAATAACCGGCATATTCCGTGCAGACTGATCATGGTCTGCACTGTTTGCTTGTTAGTCTGTATCAAAGAAATGAACAGTTTGTCAGGATTAAAAGATGTACAAGTCTACTTCAGATATTTAGCGTGGTATGACATAATATCTAATTGACTGTAGGCAATGGAAATTCATTTACTTTTTAAAAATATTGCTTGTATATCAAATTTTGTTCAAGTCTAACATAAATGAGCCGTGTCACGGCAAAACCAACATAGTGGGTTTGCGACCATCATGGATCCAGACCAGCCTGCGCATCCGCGCAGTCCGATCAGGATCCATGCTGTTCGCTATCAGTTTCTCCACTTGTAATAAATGTTGAGTTTATGTTTTCTTCTTCCTACATTGTACACAAATACTCAGCATGCACAGTATATTTTTGATGCTGTTCTTTTGAGTCTTGTTTTTTTCTCATATTTATTTTCAAAACTTTCTGTGTAATATTCGTTATTTCCTATGTCTCAGCATATAGAATACGGATGTGCTTGTGAGAGCAAATTGATATAAATAATCATGTAATGCAGCACAATTTACACAAGGATGGGTTGTTATAACAGACGTTGAGTGGGGAATTATCCGGCGGCATGTCTGTACATACGAGAAAGTATCAATGCTCGAGTATTATTGTGTGAAACATTAATCCTGTAAAATCATATAGCGAACAATGATCAAACATGATCAAACAGCGAAAGGTTATTAATCACACTGTCTTAACAATTTCGTTAGCAATGTACTTAAAGGGTTTCCCAATAGGCTGTATGATATTTACTTTATATTCCTTTATATTACTATAAATAGTAAAACCAACTGGGATTTATGGATGTATCACCATTTTAAGCATTCGTATGCATTGCATATCTTAATTTCCTTTCTTAAAATCTAGATTCAAACTTTATTAAATCTGTAACAAATACTGCATTCTTTTTCTCGATGAATATTCCATTTTAGAAACCAAATACCTAGCTTTATTTGCGATATGCTTGATAACTAAAAGATCTGTATGTGCAAAAAGGAAATGTTAGCTAGAATTTATGCAAACCACATTACTCGTGTATCAATCTGATGATACTTGTTACAACATCGTATCAACTGCAGCGTTTTTATTTTCAAACTAGTAAATTTAATCAGAAATTGGTGAAACAAAATCGCCTATAATGAAACTAATAGGCTGATGTATCCTGCTTGTTTGTAGATCTTAGAATTATGTTTCCTATACCATTTCATCTCAGATTATTCTTTAAAGTAAAGTTCAGAGATTTCATTTTTTCTACTCATTATTATGCCATTCTTACTAGGTATAAGTAACAAAGGATTTTTTAAAATTTCATTTGAAATTGGTTGTGTGCACAAAGATTTATAAAATGTTAAAATCTTAGAAAATGTCCGGTTACCTTACAAATGTTTTAAACTGCTAATCACGCCAGGAAGTGTTTGTTTAAGAAAGAAATTATTTTAGCTTGGTATCCTTTGCCTTTTTAGAGCATTCAAAAGATGAAAGATTTGCTACTTAGCTGGGGGATTAGTTATATACAAATTGATGAGTCGGAGCTTTAAGAAATTAGCCCCAAGTAAATTAACTCCAGTAAAATTTGAACTACAGTTTATAACAGCATCATATATCTACAGCATTTCCCTCCCTCCATTTACTGTCATATTTTCAATGAAACTTTTGCAGATGCCCGTTTTAACTTTCTTATATGCATGTGCTTTATGATTTTTAAATAATTTATAATTTGTCCCATTCCCATAACTTCCTTAATTGCCATCTCTCTATCAATTGCTGTTTGCCCCTTGACCGTTCGGTGGCCTACCAGGTACCACAGTAATATATTTGGGGTGTAGGTGGGGGGAGGTAAAACGTTCAGTGAACATTTACGCTCGTTATCCCCTTCCTTTAGTCTATTATACTCATACTTACAATGACGTAAGGGTGTGTTTAATTCATTTTTCAATACATAATGTATTTCTTTCTTAAACAATATTTAGTATTCATCATAAATCTAACTAATATAGAGAAATCCCTAAAAGGTCAGGAATAATGTCTACATATATGATGTTAGATGTCACAAATAATACATCAAGAAGTTGTTACATACAAAGTTTTCGACTTCCTGACGATTTAGGTTTGTAATTATTCTGAAATCTTGCCCGGCATGAGGATCCTTTGTAACTTTTCCATAAAATTTTATAAATGTTCCTTTTTTAGAACACATAAATCTGAACAAGCTTGTGGGCGTAAAATGATGTTTAAAAAGAAATTAGATTATTAATTATTCAAGACATTCGTTATGGTTTACATTAAGAATAATTTAAGAAGCTTCAAAAATGTATGAGACACTTCAGACTTTTCAAAAACACTAAAAAGAATCAAAATTATAAAAAAGAAAGAAAATTGAATCATTTTAGCTCGCAGTGAACTAAAAAAATGTATGAAACGGAGAATATCGCTTATATTTTCATTTTGCGTAAAACAAGATTTTGGTGTCATTGATTATGTCTTACACATAAATATTCCTTTAATCAACAAATGGGCCCGAGCGGTAGTAATATTTATACTTTATAAATGATTGTTTCAATCTGTTTTACCCTTTGACAGTTTTAATGACCGGAACTTTTTGTTTTAGGTTAGACAGCTAAACCGTCGCCGTGCGGCCGCTGTCTGAAATAAAGGAAATGAACTCTCGCAATTATTTGAATCTATTTCCGGAGACCAAAGAGAACGAAAGCCATCCGAACTGACTGCTTTTCTTAATAAGAATTTTGTCATTTGAAATCATTTTAGTTGCATTTAAATGGCAAAATTGCACATAATTACACGCTTTTAACTCGGGTCGTCTAGATGCAAGCTTTTTTTCTTTCACAGATGTAATACTATGATGCATTTTTGTTGTGTATATTAAGAATTAATAAAACGTTTCATGATTTGTTTTTACGCATTGGTTGTCCACGCTTTATTAAATATTCTGTGTTTCATTAGAAGACAAACTTGGTCTTTAGAATATTTTCTTTTCTACTAAATGTGAATTACTTAAACAAATTGATAAATCAATGACAAATTGAATGGAGATAAAAATTAAAAGTTGCTTAAATTGACAGTAAATTGTTAAGCAAACATAAACGTAATAATAAAATCAATTTTAAAAACTTACTTAAAGAATACGGAAACGAAAAGTTTTTTTTTAATAAACGCCTACTTATATTTTGTTGGTTATTAATAACTTCATTTCAAAGAAATATAAAACGATCGCTCATTCATTTCTTACTTTTCAGCCGTATTCATGTAGCAGCAAGTGACAAAAAATACAGATTAAAATAACAAAAGTCACTAAAGTTTAATTTATTTAACTTATAGTTTAGTTGTCCATTTATTATTGTATATTTCATTTGTATATTTTAACTTAGCATACAGATATGTACAAACACTTCCTATATTACCAACTAAACAACTTAATTTTAAATTTCAGATTGTTTGAAGTTATTATGCTTGTATATGAAGATTACGGGGTAGGATAAAGGAGCATTTATTCAAGCGTGAAATTTTCAAAAAAGCTGGAAAATACAACATGCATTGATCTCATACCGATTCCTTTCTCTTTGATCTTTCTTTTTCTGGCAAATGAAGAGTTTCTGTTTAGATACGTGATTTATAAGAAACTGTTCATGAAAACAAGAATATTAGATTACTTGTATAGTCGGACCGATTAACTGAATATGGCTTTACATCAGTCCCTTAAGACCAAGAACATAGCAAGAAGCTCCCGCCTTCCAAACTTGGCCATTTTATAAATTCACAATCATACCTTTGGGATTAATTTGCTAGCTATATTCTATATATCATGCTACAATATTATAAATAAATCTTAGCCCGTTCAAGTCTGTCAGGGTAATTCATAGCGGTTTAAAAATTCTTAATTCTAAAAATTCTTTTTTTTTCCAAAGTAACTAATGTTGCCAGTTTTTTTAGATTTGAGTTATTATTTCTGTATTTTTTTTAGATCGCAAAATTTTATAAACGACTATTTAAAGACAGTCGCAGTATTTTTAAAGCTAAATTTTTCAATCATCCGTAGTCAATTTTGCATATTTCAAGCTTTTGGTTCAAGCGACTTTTTGATCTATTTCCTATTGTTCTTTTTTTATCTATTTTTCTATTAAAAAAAACAGAACAAAAAACATCATGAAATATTTTGTTGTGAAAGAAATTATTTCTATGCTTTTAATTTCATAAAAATAAGTGTTAATAAGATTTGAACATGTTCGAAAATGTATCGGCACATTCCCGTTGATTATTTTCTAAAAAGACATGGAAAATAATGTGTTTTTTATTCCTCTAGTAACACTGGCTACAAATATTTCTGAATATTTCCGCTTTAGCGCCTTACAAAATCGAACATTTTCTTAAATAACATCCCTATTGTAAAAGTTATGAAAATAATGAAAATCTCTTGCGAAATAACATGCAATTTCAGTAATGTTGCGTACGGAGGACGATGATATAGGTTTTTTTTTCAAATTTATTTTTGTGCATAAGGCTTATTTTTAATAATAGATAAGCAAATTTCTTTTTTTTAATAAAACTTTAAAACTAGCTTTTATGTATGCCAACTTGGTAATTTTATTTTTTATTATTTCTTTGCTATGTTTCCTTTCACAATCAAATATATTCACACATTTTTTAGAACAATAATTAAATAAAGAATGAAAACAAAATTTAATATACATACTTGTATCAACTATTCCATAATTTCTGTCCAAACAATCCCGCTGAAAAAAGATTCCGGAAGCCTGCCGTCCTGTAGAAATATCTGATAGCATTTCAAATGAACATCTTATTAAGACATGGTCACGTGACTATATTTATTATGAAATAAAGTAAGATCGATCCGTCCCGCCTTAGAAAAGTATGCGCACCCACCTAGCACACAAAAGGGCATGGAAACATACAAATATAGCGGAAAGCCGGTATATAGAAGTCAATAAAAACCCAACAGAGTTTGAGATTCTGTTATCTGCTACAAATGCATGCCTCCATATTAATATCTAACAAACGCTACCAATTAATCGTTCTTGGGTTTTTTCTTGAACTAATCAAACATTGTATTAACAAGCTTATCAAAAAAGCGATAGTGCTGTATCGTGGCTTGTTTGATGTTTGCATATTATGTATGGTCACACGTATTTCAACTCGAGATAAAAAGCAGTATATAATTGGTAGGTCAACGATGCTTAATGAACATATTCAGAAAAATAATACTGCCCCAAAGGGGAAAATCATAGCCGTGTTTTCTTGTTTAACATGCTTTGCGGCTGTTTAGCAAATTAGTTATAATGTTATTTAAGAATTCCATCATCAGCTCTGATCACTTTTACAGGAAAAAAATGCTGAAATCCTGTGTGGAACGTTAAATTAATATAAAGTAAAGGCAGCTTTTTATGAATATGTGTATTTATCATATACTTATACATGAAATATTTAGATATATTGATGAAATAAAATGTATATTTTCATTTTCCGTATTTTCACTGTAAACCCTTTATGAAAAGGAAAGTAAAGTTGTTTTTTTTCTATAAAAACGCGATTTATTTTCATCTTGCAGTATGAAAGTTACTGCTACTTGTGAAATATTTCTTTTTATACCACTCGATGGAAATAAATCAAGTATTGATAGATAGAACTTGAATATCCTCTATCATAACAGAATTATCAAAATCGACATATCAACGTCAATTTGATATTAGGTACTTTCGAAACAAATCCAGTTGAACATTATATATATTTGTAAGAAAAAAAAAACAATCTACCAATACAGTATACGTAACTGATAACAAAAATGGTAAATTAGAGTATATAATCATATTAAAAAGTAGTTATTTTAGTGGCACATTTTTTCGCCTATTTTGGATAGCACACAAGTTTCAAACTCACTTAAGCGCACCTTGTGTGCCAATTTGTGATATTTGTTGCAAAAACAACAAAAAACAACAAGGATATTCTCACTTAAAGTGACATTATGTTCATTTTTAATTGTCAAATTGAGCTGTATTGATATATATTTCAAAAGTTTTACTGCTAAATTGGTGATTGACCAACAGTCTAGCGGCTAGGGTTATATTTCCAAACAACCGTTTATATAGGGTCATATAACCCGTCAAAAGTCTTTATAACTAGTATACTATAATAAACACGGAAGTTTTCAGTTCATGAAGAAATTTTACTTTTTTCTCAATACAAAAAAAGAAATATGATGCATTATAATCTCGTTATTGATAATCTTGACAGGTTATATGACCGTATATAAATGGTTGTTTGAAATATAACCGTCTATATAGGGCCATATAACCTGTCAAAAAAAATCGTTGTAGCTAATAATATACCCTTTGGGTGGCTATTATGTCACTTGAACCTTTCTTGCTTTATATGAATGCATAATCAAATAATGTTCAATCTCCCGAATTATTCAATGAGTTTTAAACACGTTAACATGGTCAATTGTAATAAACAGTTTTGTTTCGAATTTATACGAAACTTTTACAACGTGACACCATGGAAGCTGATGGTGCAGTTATATCGTTGTCATGGCAGTACTGGTCGTGTATAAAAGAAAATCTGCGGATACATCGTCGCGATTTTCACCCGACTCCACCGTCGCAATCGTCACCCGACCTCACCGACGCAATCGTCACCCGACTCCACCGTCGCAATCGTCACCCGACTCCACCGTCGCAATCGTCATCCGACTCCACTGTCGCGATTTTCACCCGACTCCACCGTCGCAATCGTCATACGACTCCACCGTCGCAATCGTCATCCGACTCCACCGTCGCGATTTTCACCCGACTCCACCGTCGCAATCGTCACACGACCTCACCCAATCTCCACACAGTGATCTCCCCTTAATTCTTCGGCGTAGATCTCTGCCACCAAGGTCCCGATATATCAGAATTTCTGATATACTATATTTTTTTCAAAAATTGTTTTATCTACTGCTTTTATCTATCAGATAAGTTTTCTCTCATTTATTTAACAATGTTTATGAATAAATAAATAAATAATATGAATATTTAGAAATAATTTTAAAAATTATGAGATTATTTTCTACCGAGACGATATTTTGATATTTTATATTTTTTAGCTTTTGAATTTATTTTTCGTTATTTTGTATACTTTCGATAATTTTTTGATAAACTATATCGAACGTAGGCACCAAAAGTTAAAAATAAAACAGAAAGAGAAAAATAACGTTAGATTTTCTTTGTAACGGTCGATATTTACATTTGAATTTCGACGTTACGTCATGTGACTTTCATCATCATGTGACGTCTTTGAAGGCAGTGATTATAATTCTGCCAAGGGAGGTAATCACTGTGTGGAGTTTGGACCTCACCGTCTCAATCGTCATCCGACTCCACCGTCGCGATCGTCATACGACTCCACCGATTGTCAACCAACTCAGGAACAGGAATTTCATAACTAGCATTACTTTTAGATATATTTACAAATCTATCAATTTATCAGGATAAAGTTATGTTCCTTTGCTGCAGAGTGCCTCGGACACATAAAGTAGCTAGAGCTATGGGTTACAACCTAAAGCATTTAATGCAATAGTTGTATTTAATCCAAGTATTGCTTTCTTGGCGGTTTTTATTTATTTATTATTTTATTATTTTATTTATTTATTTATTTATTTATTTATTTATTTATTTATTTATTTATTGAATTAATTTGTCAGCGACGAAATGTTTGTGTCGCCAATCAGCAGATATATATATATATGCACGAAATATCAATATAATTATAGTACTTTTCTGCACGCATCAGAACAAAATCTTTTGTTTTGTTAAGAATATTAATTAATAATCATGATTTATAATCATGATATATTCACAAAGAAACATTTATTGTACATGAACTATCAAATATTTTTAATATCTATCTTAGATTGATTTTTTAGGGTTTCTTGAAAAACTACTTGCTAGTTTTTCCTTTTATTTTTAGTAAATACATCATTCACATATATGCATAAATGATTGTATAAAAAGTGTAACATGTTACTTTTCAGGTTTATAACATTGATATTTTTATGAAAACCATCCTAATATAGTTTAAATTTCTCAACAATGATGGACTAGGAGCGTCGGACATTAAAAATGCCCTTATCTTCTTTTGAGGCAGCCTTTGTCTGAACAGTGAACTGACGTTGAATTTACATGAACGTCTACGCATGCTTGACTAAATTATACATAAAAGCTATGGTCATAAAATGTTCACCCAATGTTAGAGGATACCAATTGTGAAATATTTTTTTATAGTTAATTTAATATATTAAATAAGAATAGAATCTTAGCTATGCTAAAATCATATTTTCAACACATATGTGATGCAAGATGTGCGTAGGCTTCATCTTCTTTAATAATGCAAATGTAGAATATAGCAACTTTAATATATTAAAGATTTAATATATTAAAGAAAACTATTGAACAATACAATTTTCTTTTATTCTATCATAAAACAAAGACTCCCAGAACGCCTCATTCTTTATGTTGCTAATTTGGTGAAACGCGCTACTGGCTTAGTGGAATCGCCTACAAGAGCACAGATTTTGGTAAGATCAATGTTCCATAAATTGTTTTCCGATCCTGATATTTTGGTCTCTGTATCATTTATAGCCGAAAAAAGGCACTCAACTAACGTCACTATTGATTTTGAGTTGGTTCTAAACACGTGTTTCGTTGATTTATGTTAAGCTTTCGTTCCAAATCCAGAAGTTCTATTGTAATTTTGGTATATAAATGTTTTCATTTGATTACAAATCTCGCATGGAAACTGAGTGGGACGCGTAATGTCTTATCATAAAAAAGACTGTAAATAATGATAGCTTATTATGAGCAAATATCTAGTCTAATTTAAGAAAATTATTATTATCAACAACATATGGGCCGCGTCATGACAAAACCAACATAATGGGTTTGCGACCAGCATGGATCCAGACCAGCCTGTGCATCCGCGCAGTCTGATCAGGATCCATGCTGTTCGCTTACAATCCCTATAACAAGTAAAGAAACTGATAGCGAACAGCATGGATGCTGATCAGACTGCGCGGATGCGCAGGCTGGTCTGGATCCATGCTGGTCGCAAACCCATTATGCTGGTTTTGTCGTGACGCGGCTCATATTTAAGTCTTAAATGCAAAAGTCTGAGAGATATACGTAGTGTTAATCTATATTTAAATAAAAAAAATAAAATGATGAAAATAAAGTAATTAGAAGAACCGTTCAAAGTATGAAACTCAATTAAATGACTTAAAATCACCAGGGGACTACATAATTATGTAACTATTTTCAAAACAACAACTTTGAGAGTAATTAAGAAATTAATTAATCGGATTTGGCTTTACACCTTATTTCACGTGAGAGGCCGCATGAACGCGTAACAATAGCTAGTTTATAAATATCACAATTCATTTGAATGCTAAAAGATTGAATTGAATTGGAAAATATAAAAAAATGATAAAAAATAATAACAAATAAATAGTCTCTAACCTGAATGCATGTACATCTTCTTGGTCGTTCTGTTTGCAGCGTCCTCCTTGATGGAACACTTTAAACCATTTATTGTTCTGAACATGTTGTAGTTAAACCTATAAACAAGTCAAAATATTATTTTATTATTATAGGCATAACCTTTCCTGTTTCGTAATTTTACACAGTGTAAATCATTTATATATATTATAGGACAAATAGATCAAAACCAACGCAAATATAGATATCATTACATCCCAGATAGCATTCTATATGGGACCCATGTGGGGCCCATATGGGCACCTATATGGGTCCCATTTGGGCTGCCCATATGGGCCCCATATAGGAAGTGCAACCGGGTTCCAAATGGGTCCCATCTGGGCAGCCCTTATACTCAATATGGGATTCACATGGGCCCCATCTGGGCAGCCCATGTACACAATATGGGCCCCACATGGGCCCCATATGGGCAGCCCTTGTACTAAA